GCCATTCCAGTGCGCTTACTACAGGATGCAGTCAAACGAATGTTCAGAGCCTTTCCCCTCTCAGCCACCTTTCCAGAAACTGAGCAGCACTGAGTGTCCTGACACCAACCCAGCTGTTCCTGGCAAAGTCCCTGCTGCCCAGCTCTGAGCAGAAATAGTTCATGCAGCCTGACCAAAAGGGGAGGCAGATAACAGACAGGATTAGCTAGCAGTTAGAAACCAGGTTACCTTCTGTGTGCCAGTTGCACACACTTGTGAGTTGTATTTTCCTGCTTTTCCAAGCATCTGGGTGATGGGCTTTAGAGAGCACCAGGCTGTGCAATGACCTAGGACTTAGTCATGTAGTGTAAGCACTGAAAGAGTTAACACTCAGTGAAAACTGGCCACAGATGTGTGACATGATGGCTCACATAGAAAACACGTAACAGGCCACGCAAAGCCGTGGGTGCACCCCACGTGCTCTTACAGGAATCCCTGTGTGATCAGCCTTACGGTCAGTTGTTTTTCTATGGTGTCAGCTCTTTAGGTAACAACATTTTGCTCTTCACCGGGGCAGAATAATGCCTTGATGACTCTGCCCATCTAACCTGCTCCAGTGACACGTGAGCTTGGTATGGTCATTGCAGCTAAAATATGTCAATATCCTCCTTCCATCTGCATGGGCTTCTGAGGAGGGCTTTAGAAAACAAGTGACCAGAGGACTGCCTTGCTCTTCTCACCAACAGATCTCAAAATGCTTAGCAGTGTGGCTAACCACACTCAGACCACTTTCAGTAGGGGAAAGCCAAGGCAGAGCGAGTATGCAGCGCTCAAGTCAGCGAGCAGGGGAACGTTTATAGCTAGTCTATTTTTGAGGTTTGTCTCAGCACCTCACCCCTGGGGGGGACGCAGAACTATGTCTGTAGTACAGCTAAGCACAGAGGCAGAGAGATGTTGTCATGGCATTGCGTTGATCCCACCGAGATAAGGAGAGCGTGGGATGACACAGTTTGCGGCAAACACTAGCAAACATGCAGTCCCATAAATGGTGTCAGAAGCACCGGATGTAGCCTAGGGCAAAATCTAGTCCTTGAAGACCCACAGCAGTCCAAACTCCTCGTATCCCATTTGTGGCAATGGGCTGTATGGCTGGGCTGAGTAAGCTTCCTCTGAGCAGAGAACTCAGAGGTGCGCTGATGATTTGCAGAAGCCGAGAACCTGGCTCGGAGTGTTTTTAGAGCTGCTGCTCTTTGTATCTTGCAACCTCCCTCCTAGCTGCATAGCACTTTGCATGATGAACCCAGCTGTGCTACCTCTAAAACCACATCCTCCAGGGTAAGCACAGTGATCAGAGGCATGTACCTTACTGGGTGTTAGTCCCCGCTGTGCTGAAACTTCAGGGTTAAACTCGCCCCCCCATCCCTCTTACTGCTGCCGTTTCCTCTCTTCCGAGCTGTCTCTCTGTGGAGCAACAGAAATCTGGCTTGCTCAGCCCATGCGACTACCCCACTGCTGCTACTTTGGAGCCTGTGGCTCCTGTTCACCCCGCCTTGCTCTCAGCCCTGCTTTCCTAGGCTGGGCTTGGCAGGGCAATTTTGTATGCCTAATTGTCTGCCCCATCCTAGCGCAGTCTGCTCCTGAGCCCTTCGTATGCTTCCGCCAGGTGAGTCAACATGGCCCAACAGAAGCTGTCACTCTCAGACTACTCCTGAGCTGGGAACTGTCTTTTCAGCAGAAACTGTTTTTCTTTAAAAGAACAAAAACAAGCAGGAAACCTTTTCCAGTGCGTATCTTGCGGAACTGTCTCCCGTTTTATTAATCTATCCCAAGTTATTTTTAATGTACATGATAAAACAGGTCTTTACTAATGCAAAGAAGCCTGCCATCTTACTAACAGAGAGAATCCAGCAGAGCTGAAACAGGAGAGAGAAAGGGCAGCAATAAAGGACAGATCACAGATATCTGTACATGGAGAAATAAATACAATAAATTTTCCACTCAGAAAAATGAAACTCCTCCAACAAACTTTATGCTACAACCCCTAGGGTACAGCATGCTCTGCAAAATGTTTTTATCCTAGACTGTGCTACAGAATAGCAGCGGGAATGGAGTTCCTGCCCCAGAAGTCTCCGGGATGAGAAGGATAACCTAGCAAAAGGGTTTGATGCTCTCTTGGATCTCGTAGGTCCCGGGCGTTACCTGCGTGGCCCCAATGCATGCTTTGTTGTTCCACTAAACAAGCTGTTTTCAGGGCAGAGTGCTGGTCCTGACGTTGAGCCAAAGGGGCTCAATTAGAATCTGAGAAACACGAAAATCCCCCTTGTGCTGTCCCAGTCAGACTATAAAGCTGATCCTCATTGCTAGGTTGGGGCGGGGGGGGTCCAATCTCAGCTGAAATATCTAGGAGCCCCACAATTTAATAGTAACAAAGATCTAATGCTCAGCCAAACACTTAAGCGTCCTAATAGGAGGCTTTCAGATGGCTTGGGAGGGTGCCAGGTCCCCGGTTTGACCCTATCAGGATGTTCTGCTGAGGCTCTGAAACATTGCCCCTGGATGCAAAGCACTACTCTCACCTCCCACAGAAGAAAGGCTGGGGATGACTGGCTCCATGTACTGGTAGAAAGGTTTCTCTTTTTTTTAAAGGTTAAAAGCATTTTTTGCCCAAAATACTTGCATTCAACATAGTGGCTTTTCTATGCAAATGAGCCATTTGGTGTTTAATATACTGGCTGCCTTAGTTTCTTCTGTTACAATCCTGGGCAGCAAGAGCCAAGACAAGCTATGGACATGAGAGCAGGACAGGGCCGGAGGCCAGTTGCTCTGCAAACTGTCACTTTGCACCTGTCAGCTACTCAGGGCGGCATGAGGAGCAAGTGGAGGCACCCACGGCAGAAATGAAATAGAGGGGAAAATCCTGGAGCAGAGAGAAAGAAGTGTGGGGGGAAATGAGGCCAGGAGCCATGGGTAAGGCTGCAGTCTTTTAATGAGAAGGCCAATCTGTTCCTTTTCCCTAATGTCAGACGCAAGGCAGGAGGAGTGTGTCGACATGGGACAGCTGATGGCAGCAGGGTGCCTGTCCTGTGTAACCACTTGGCTTATCCCAAAATGCCTGGGCCTCAGGAGGACAGCAGAGCTCCGGTATCAAGCTGGGTGGAAGCACTTGGCCCCTCTGCCACTGTTTTCCAGCCTGTCATCCATGGGAATTTCAGAAGCCCCTGGGCTCCAGGCCTGCATACACTTCCCGCTGGCCCTTCCGGATGGGCTGTGGGAACAGCAGAGATGTTAGTTCGGGAAACCTTGTTAACACGCCCTCAGACATGCCAGAGTCTTGGTCCACACAAGACTCAAGAGCAAACCATAACAGAGAGAACAACTGTAGTGCTGCTCTGGTAATATGGTCAGTGCACGGGAAGCTGCAGTTCTGCTCCTGACTTCCAGTGTCACTGCTAAGAGAAGGGACTCCACTCTCAGCACCTCCTTCCCCTGCCCCGGGAAAGCTTGGGGGTTTGCTGGATGTTTCTTCAAAAGAGCAAAAAGGACAAATGCTACAGATTCCCAGCTCTGGCTATCCCTCCCTGACCAGCAAAAACAGATGGAAAAAACGCAGGTTCTCCATACCTCATAGTCTGGGTTAGGAACAGGGGGAGGATGCTGCATCTTCTGACCTGCAATAGAGGAAGAGAGAGGTCATCCTTGGTGATGATTCTTATCCCACAGTGCAAGGGACTTCCATGGAGATGACCCCAGGGTAGTGCATACCATAGGCCCACTCGCATGGCTTTATTATGAGCTTTGAGTTTTTAAAGACCCAACTGATGCAGTCAGGAGGCTGCATGATAATTTATCAGGAAATTGTGAAGAAAAATTTGAAAACATGAAGCCAACGTGATTGTCTTCATACACTGGATCTACACTCCCCTGGCTCAGCAAACTGCACAGGCGTGGCACAACATCACATTTCCCTTGAACTGTCCTGAGCACACAGTACAGAATTTAGACCTGCTGAAAGCTTCATATCAGCTTTGTGAAGGCAAGGGAGAAGTGGCAATGCCTGATCCTCATAAAGGCTTGAGTGGAGGGCGCCCATGGTACTTTTCTGACAGGAAGCTCTGTGGCACCAATGCCCATATAAACATTTCTGGAACAAATCTGAATCAGCAGCATGAGGTCAGCACCTTGCATGACTTTACCTCAGCGTTTATAATCCATGTGCTCCACTGCTGAATCCACTGTGTCACCAACCATGACTTCAGAGGCCGTAAAGGCAAAATAATAGTTTTAAAAATATTGTGATTCCTAACCCCATCTTCTCTGTGCAGGCCTGATTCTTGATCTTTGAACGCCTGAGATGGCAGCAGAGTGGGCTGGGGCCAGGCAGGGCTTGCTGGCTACACCTGTAAGCTGAGCATCTGCTATACGGTGCTGGCTTCAGCACAGCCTCACTGCCGCTTCATAACAGCCTGTGAAATGGTTTCCTGTGGGCAGGAAACCTTTGACACAACGTGGCAGCCACACCCGTCCCATATAGGAGACAGCCCACAGTAACAGCCGTGGCAAGCAGGAGCAGAGGAGTCTGGCAAGGCCTGGGAGGCCTGGGGGAACACAGGCTGCTCCGGCACTGCCGGGGGCAAGTTCTTAGCATCCCAGGGAGGTCATGGATGGCAGACACATCTGTCATGGCTCTTACCTCGTGGTCGGCTGCCAGCACCAGTGCTTGCTTTTCCCTTCCTATCCTTGCTGAAGTAATAGACCAGAATCAGCACCCCGAGGGTGATGAGAAGGTCTGCAGCGATGATCCCCGTCACAGCTAAGGCATCCAGCTCCTCACAGTTTGTGCACACTGCCAGAAGGGGAGGTGAAGGTGGTCAGAGCCAGACACCCTAACTTTCCAGCACCAAGTAAAGGGAGGAGCTACAAGTCCGAGCCATCATAATCATAGTGAGCTTTCTGCTCACTATGTCCAGGCCTCACTCATCTGCTTAGCGTTACCAGAAAAGATGCAGCTCTGGGTGGGAAGGAGAAAGGAGCAAGCAGAAATGAAGAGGGAAGTGACAGGCTATTCTATCACCCCTCCATTTCCATCTACCAACACTTCCGGGGGCCGATATGTGCAGCAACCTCACTACTCTCCGCTATTCTGCACAGCCTCAGCAGGAGGATGCAAAACATCTCCTAGAATATCATTGCTCTGCTCATGCCTATCTGACTCTGAGCCCAGTCTACCTCTGCTGGATTCCAAGACCTGAACGCAGAGCAGCTGCCCAAACTTCCAGTGGCTCAGAGGTTTAAACCTGTGTCAGGAGGGAGGGAAAGGCTCCCTGTTGTATGTTGGATCACAGAAACCTGGCTGCATGCTCCAGATGTGAGCCTTTCACTCTGTGAGACAAAGAAGTGCCTCTGGCCTTTGTGACAGACACGACCCATCTATCTTTAGTCCGTTTAGCCCATGCAGAGTTTCTCATAGACAGAGCGCGCTTTCGCTCACCTCTGGCATTCAGGTACATTTTATGCTTCTGATCACCTGATGAACAACCCACATAGACAGGAGAGCTGTCGTAATTCTCTATGACATACTTCCTCTCACGGGAGGATGCTTCTAGCAAAGTGGAAGTCCAGACTATGTTGCCCTCAGTCACGGGACAAGTGATGGTCACCGTAGTTCCAGAAATCTCCACCAGGAATTCTTGACTGGGAGCTGGGCCTACAGGAAGGAAAACCAACATTACAAAGGGCTTTCGAACCGGCCGCTCTCAATCCCAGAAGTCCAGCTGGAGAAGACCTATCGGAGCCCCCCCCCTTGTCCATCCAGCTTCTTGGAAGTTTCCGAAGTGTACTGAGGTTGGGAGTGACGGAGAGAAAGAGGCAGGCAGACTGGGGAGGAAATAGCTTTCAAACTTGCAGAATAATTTAAAAATGCTGCACTCTGCCTTCACCACGGTAGTTTATTCTGCCCAATCTTTGAAAAATCATAGTAAAAATGTAAATTCCCTGTGCATGTGTATTCTGCATAGATGTTTTTCTTACACTGATCTCTTTGCAACACTAAGCAGTATCAAAACCCCATCACAGAATGTTCAATTTTATGTCAGAGAGTTTGGCCATATGCCACCGGTCAGTTTTGCTTATCGGTATGCTTGCTGGTCTCTGCAAATGTCATAACCTGTTTGGAGACCACTAACAATAATTAGGGGCAAGTCATAACAGCTGATTTTTCTAATTAGTGATAACAGTAGCAACCAATGAACAGGGAATTTTCCCCTCCTAAAATACTGCTTGAATTCAAATATTTCTATCTGCCTCTTAGTCCGCACTTGTGAGGCATGTGCGGTCTTTATACCATATTAAATAGTTAAGAATGGTGGTAAAGTACGCTTACCTTTCTATGCTTCAACATCCTCTACAAAGGAAAGAATAACAAGCGCTAACAAATCTGCCTGCTGTTATGTTACTGCTTGCTGATCTCTGCAAATATCCAACTCTGCTTGGAGATCGTTAGCAATAATTGGGGACAATTCATGAGCTAATTTTTCAAATCAGTGAGAACAGCAATAGTTAAGGGACCAGGAAATTTTCCTATCCTACAATATTTGCCGAATTCAAATATTTCTATTTGACTTTTACTCCCCAGCTGTGGTTTTACACCCCATCTGTGGTGTTTTTATATAGTTAAGAACTCTAGTAAAAAACACTTACCCTCCTGTGCAGCGGTGCCAGCTACAAAAGAAAGAATAACAAACATTAACAAATTTAGCTACTGATGACTTGTATCTTTCCTACCTCAAGGAAATCTTTCCTGAATTCAGCTGCTTGAAAGAGATGGCTATACTCCTCTGTTTGTGTTAAATACATTAGAAACATTAAGTTAGCTGAGACAGGATGTTGTTTTGAAATGAAGTCTTTTCCTTTGGAAGCCATTTTCAAAACAGACTAAAGCAGGATAGAAATTTGATTGGTTTTCCAAGCCTGTTTAAGAAAAAAGGTTTATTGCATGGTGTAGACTCAACAACTTTCCTTTGTTACCATGGATCAAAGACTGCTGGAAAATCATGCCTTGCTTCTGTAGTAAGAACCACTGTCCTCTGCAAGAGTGTACCCACTGGAGGATTGGACCCTAACGCTTGATTTAACTCTATGAAGTGGTTTACCTACACGATCGTTCTCTCTGGGTAGGAAATGAGTAGCTCCATTGAGGTTTCTAGAGCTGGAGCATTATAAAACCAGTTTTTAGGAGGTATGAATGAGACCTGTGACTTGCTTTAAAGATTTTCTATTTGTCAATAGAAAGTACCATAAGTAAATAAACGAATGAGTTGTGTTCATGTGCTCAGTTCTGTTGTCTCATCCCAGGTAACACTTGCTTTACAGAGTGACTTGGAACAAAACTGTAGATTTGAAATTCCACAGGTGTAGGACTTGCCTGGAGAGAAGGTGATCTGATGCTTTATTCTTTATATAAGATAAGTTTAAATATGAAAAAGAACAGGGCATTGCCAAACCAAATGTTTTCTGTCTTCTCAAAGAATAGCAGTTGGTTTTTGCCACACATTTGGCAGAGTTGCTATAGTCTTATTTAAGTATGTTTCAATTATCCTTCAGACCTACCTGTCATAGTTACCAGCTTCTGTATAGTCTTTGTAGATACTCTGCACTTCCTCTTAAAAAAACTTTCCAAATACTGGTCCATCCACCCCGGCAACAAGGAATATAATGCTGCTACTCCTATGCTATCATGGTGAATCTGAATACAGAATGGAAGTGATCTACCAATGGCCACCAAACGTTTTAAGCAAAGTGCATAAATAAATGTTAGAAATAAACGAAAAGGAAAACCTCAGGTTCTTACAGTACACGCTGCTGCAAAAAGTACTGCTTTCAAGCGCCAACTCTTACACCCCACCCACACCGCTACATAAATTTTGAAGACCAGGTGTTTTAGTGAAATAGCTAGTCAGCAAAAATTCACTAGGGACCTTAGGTTCTTCTCTCTGGCCTGAGAGGGCTGGATTCCCGTTTCTCCGTCCCTGCAACCTGCACTTTGAAGGGAATACTTAGTTTGGAGAGCAGCGGCTCCACAGGCACTGTACACAACAGTTTCAGAAGATGGAGCTGCAGGTACTTTACAAAACCAGCCCTACACTGCCCTGCTTTCTCCTCTGCCAGCCCGGGCAGCCACCCTTCTGATCGCCATGGGCTTCTCTCCAGCTGTACTCACCCACACACAGCAGGACTCCCAGAAGAAGCAAGGAAAGCTCAAACCTCATCCTTGTGTTCCTCTTTCTCCTGCTCTTCTCTGCCATTCCTGATCAAACTGGCATCACTGAGTCTGGCTGTGGAGGAAGAAAGAAAACGTTGGCTTTTCAAGTTCTAGCTTACAAGAAAGAGGCCCAAGATTTTTTTCCCAGAATTGTGTACAGCGATGAACTGAGCAGCGCCGAGGAGACTCACTGTTTCCAGTGAAACCTGCAGGCAGCCAAGAAAGACGCAGAACACATACGATAAAATAAACGCATGCCAGGAAGTGCGGAGGCTCAAAATGTCTTCACTTCTGAACGTCACTGATAGCAAGGGTTGGCTGCTCTGCACCAGCCCAGTTCAAGACCCAGGAGAACTGCTGTAAGTGCCACAGGAGGAATTAGGAGAGATGAACAAGTCCATGTTCGATTTCCCTTCAGGACCACTCTAGCAACTTTTTAAAGTGAGCATTTCTGAAAGTTAAACTGTTGCAAGCAACTTAGCATAGTGAGGGAATAAACAAAGGAACCCAAAATGCTACAAGCTCAACAGCTAAAAACACTCCACGGCCAGCAGAAATGGGTCTTTAAGCTCCTTGAAGTAGCACCGACTTCAGGGATTGTATTTGCTCAACTCCTACCATGCCACTCCTTCTCTGGACGCTACAGGAACATAGGACATCAATAGCAGTAATGACATGGACAAAAGCAGGGTAAAAAGACCCAGAATAGGGAGAGCGAAAACCCAGTAAGGAAGAGATGCAGATCATATTTATAATTGAGTTAACCAGCTGGGCTTTTATGCTGCCAAGCCCAGTGCCAGCTGGGACGGGGCTTGTGTGACTGGTTCAGCACTCTGTCAAAAGCTGTCTTGCAATGGCTGCTGTCTTTTTCTCGGTTCACACAAGGCCCCAGTGGGGTTTTTCAGTCACTGATGACATGACCTGGATTCTAACTTTGTTCTTTTGCCATAACATATCCCATCTGTTCCTGCCGCCTCTTCCGGAGTGGCACTGGTCTCCCACTCCTCAGTCAAACTCTCCTCTGCACACATACAACAGTGAGGAGCACAGCGAAAGGAAGGGTGACTAAGCACAGCAACACGTGCTGCCAGCCTCTGAGCTGGAGCTAATGTTCTGCTCCAAACAGACATCTGATGACATTTTTTCCTTTTATGAGGGAATGTGTTTAACTGTTTTGTTCTCTGTGTCTCTTCAACTTCAGAATGAGACTGCACAAACAATTATACATTTTCATGCAGCGTTTACACTCACGTTATGAAGTGCACCTACAATAAAATCCGCTTTATTTCATTAATTTACATTTACATCTGTCAACTCATCAGTCAAATAGCCCCCACAAAAGGGAACTGCAAGGGGGAAAGGCTAAGGCTGTCTGGAAAAAGCCTTTGCCTTATCAGCTGCCAAAAGTAGTAGGGACCACGGTGTGGAAAATCCCGCCTGAAAGGCCAAGACATCTTTCCAAGCAAAGCCAGGAGGAGTCCAGACCCTCTGTGCAGACATCGCGGCCACTGTGCCTACATGGAGAGTTTGCACTGTCTTTTTTGAAAGTTTTCTATGCACTGAGTTTCCTTGGGTCTGATAACCCAGATAAGAGTAGCCTGACTCCACTAGAGGGGGCTCACACCCCAACCATTGCGCTCTGCTCTCGCAAGGGTCATCACTCCTGCCCGCCTTGGTGAAGTAGAGCAGAAGGGAACCGTCTCTTTCCAGACCTGTACTTAAGGCAGGCAAAGCCCTCCAGGCCTGCATGGGGCTGGGGCAGGGACATTTCCAACCTTTGCTTCCAGCAGGGATGCTGGCATGGACAAAGCGGGAGCACACTTACTGTCATTCTATCTGCTGGCTCTTGAAGCGTACAGAGGTACTTCTGCTGGCAGAGCTGCTCACGCGGCTGTGAGAATAGCAGGAATTTTAGGGAACATGCCCAAAGGAGACACTGCAAAGCCAGCCAAGGCTTCCTCCTTCCACAAGGGTGCTCTGGTTCTGCTCCTGCCATGGATGTCTGAATTCCTTTTGAGATGCCTAGAAGGATGGAGTTGACTTCTGGCTGCTTCCCAAAAGTTCACCATTTAATGGCATGGCTAATCACAGTGTTGTGGGGTTCTCTTTAGCTGACACACACTCTTTTACTTAATCCTGTTTCAGAGTAAAAAGTCTGAGAATTGATGTTACTAGTAAGGGTGCCTGGGACACAGTTCTATCTTAACAATTGGAGTCAGCATGCGTATGTGTTTTGAAACAAGATGTTGAAGGTTAGTAACAGACTTTGCAAGTAAAGATCAGAACAACCCTCCTCCCCAGGCCTGTGCATTCCACACATGTGGTCTTAACTGAGAGCCAGTATTGTTGCTGAGTGGCCAGAGTCAACAGGGCAGTTACAGCAAGAAACACGCTTGCTCTACCAGACTCTACTCAAGCTACCTGAAAATAATAAGTTGCTGCTATGTAGAAAGATGATCTTAAGCAGCAGAAGACTCGTCTGTGGGAAAGATGAGGGGCTGATGTGATTACTGCTGTAATGAAGCAAAACAAGACGCCAAAGTGCTAAACTTGACGCTCTTAACAGCTTGACTGCTGGATGAGCCGAGCGCCTGTAGCATGCACTGCTCCATCTGGAGTTGGGGGAGCCTCAGCTTTCGATGAGCAGCATATCATTGGTGGCATTGAGCACCAGGGAAATCCATGAGCACATTCCAGAAACCAGCTCACCCATCCTCTGAGCCAAAATCATATGGCAGAGCGAGGAAGGGAGCTGCGGAGTCCTGCTGCTCAACTCTCTGCTGTAACCACACACCTGTGCTCCTGCCTGAACATGCCAGTGGGAAAGCCCCAGAACCAGAGCTGTATGCCTGGTTCCTCTGGCCTCCCAAGTCCTGTTGCACTGTTTAGAAAACATTCGTTGATTTTGAAGCTTTTTGTGCCCCTACCTTCTGAGCATGAACTGTGAGGCAAGTGTCTTAGTAGCAGGGCATATTTGTAGTTAGAGCAAAGAATTTATCAGACAGCTGCCAGTGCATGGCCTTACCTGGAGACTCCTGGCTTTTTCAGCTCTGAAATTCAATCTTTAGACTAGACATTGTTATCTCAGTCTGCACTGACTCTTTATCTCTGGGACATTTTGGACAGATGCAGCCTGGGGGCCCACCACACACAGCTCTAGGTTTTACTTGTTGCAGCTTTAAATGTTTTTTAACATCCCAGTGAAAGGCAGTGAGAGTTGACTGCTTGAGCTGACAGGCAGAGAAGATTCCTGAGCTGTGCTCTGCGGCCTGGGAGAGAGGGCAGAGCCAGCTGCCCGGGGGGCAGCCTGCTGGAGCTGTGTACTCTCCGTGGGACCCCCCTGCCGCAGCATCCTCAGAAAATGCCATGGCACTAGTATGTTTTCTTTCTCCAGGGACCATTATAAAAATGCATTTTCAGGTGAGAAGACTTGATAGCTTCAGTTTCCCAAAGAAAAGACTCTAGGGGCCCTATTTGCGATCGCATCTCCCTGCTTTGCTGCAGTGCGCAATGCATTGAAAAGGTCCTCTTTCCTCTGCAGAAAGCCAGTCAAGACCAAATGTTCGTTCCGAAACCACTGCAGTTACAACAGATCAGCTTCTCCCAAGTCAAGAGAGCGTTGCTTGGACAGACTGAACCAGTCTCCTTCACCTGAAAAAGGATACAATAGTTAAAAACCAGAGCCTGTGCTGAAGTGCTGCAAGTTCAGACCTGAACTGATGTTGCTGAGCAGCAATTACAGAGCAACTCCTAGCACTGTTAGGGACCTGCAAGCTGTGGGATTCTGCAGAATTGAACTGTCATAGCAAGGACAATCCCTTCCAGCTCCCACCCGAGTGCACCGAATATAGTGTGTACGCTTCGATCATACATGGGGCATACACAGAGAGCTCAACGTTATCTGAGATGTCAGCCTTACACATATGCATAATAGTCTTAAGCCGGAGGAAGACCCCTCTTTTCCCTTCTCCTTGCCATTTTTCCTCTTCTGGACTGTTTTTCCCCCGCTCCTTTTCATTTCCATAACTTCATTTCTTCCCTCAAGTTTTTTAGGTCATTATAAAAATCAGCACCTTTTCAGTCATATGGGAACATTGGGAAACCCCCTTCTATACTTCCCAGAGTAAACACAGAACAATCATTCACCTTAACCTTGTTTTCCCAGCTCAGTTTTGCACAAAAACCTCTCACCACCTTATTCTAGCAACTGACTTTTAACCTTCAGTGTAAACGATGCTTTTTTCCACAACAAACCACCTCAAGCAAACTGCCTGCTAAGCACCGCCTTATAGATGCTTCAAACAAAACCCCAAAAGGCAAAAATATCCTCTATTTGCAACCCCCCCACCCGCATACTAAATTGCTATGGTGGCAGCGGGAGCAATCGAGATGATGCTTTGGAACAGTAACTGAATGGAAATCTAGGGAGATGCAGTGATGAAGGGCTAACACATGGCCAAATTATTTCCATGGAAATAGAGGTACATGGCATCTTAGAACTGTTAGCAGTGACACGCTAGCAGAGACAGGGTTGCTTCTGTAGCTGGGGACCTCAGTGCTTTCCCTTACTGCCAAATTTTAAGTTTGAAATTTAAAAGTTAAAAATATATTCAGTTACTTTCCTAGGAGACTGCTGCAAGGATATTGTGACAGCAAATAGGAAGGGAGATGTCTACATGGTTGCTCACTACCAGGAAGTCTGAGAGTCCTGCTGCTGTCCTCTTTCCATCACAGCCTTGTTCTGGCCAGTTGTGACATCCTCTCAGCGTGCCTCCGCTAATCCAAAACATCCCGATCGGAGCACGCACAGCTACACAGTGAGACTGCCCTCACTCTGAAATGCTGTTCCTCTGCTAAAGGGAACCTTTCAAAACAGCCAGAGGTTAGCGCCATCCTCCCCATCCCTGCCTTCGCACCACTGCAAGGACAATTAGCACCAGCCACAACCAAAGTTCCTAACCTGGCATGACTGTTTGGAACTAGTCCAAGGACCAGACACAAATGGAGCCACAGCCAGTAGCAAATTCTGCTGGAAAGTGATTTATGGACCTCTCGTGCAAACATCCTTATCTTGCTAACACACATGCACAGCTCAGTTCCTCACTCTGACAATTTGACAATTGCCACGCTCCACTGGCAAAACACTCTGGGTCCCATTGAGTTTCTCTAGTTCCTTGTGCTGCTTGTTAAGCAGTGGGATTCCCCAGCTGGGCCTGGACTACCACTGGGCTGGACTCATGTCCAATGTAATTGTCTTTCGACTTTTCCAAGCAGTTTTCAAGCACCAGTTAATTCAGTCTCACAATTATTCTGCGGGATAGCTGCAATTAAGTCACTTTACTTTAAGAATGATCACTTCATTTTACTGCAGATACCAGTGTTTCAGTAAGACATTTCCATCCTCTGGATGTGTGCGCACATGGCTGCCACAGGCCTGTTTTGACTTGCTTTTTTTCTATTGTTCACAGGTTTCTGCCAAACACATAACCCTCATCCCTTTAGGCTATAAACACCTTCAGGCAAATTTGCTTTCAGGAGCAAAATTACCTCCCACAAGAGGGGAGTGGTTTCAAGTGGAAGCTGAGAGGAGGGATGATTGCAACACAAAAGAGCAAAGGAATATGGGAGCAGAAGAAATTGATCTTACCTTGAAAATCTCCGTTTTACCCACAGAAGTGAGCTGTGCTGGCCGCACCTTGCCCGTCAGTGCCTGGGCAGGGGAGTGCTCTGTGACTCAAGCACAAGGAAGCGCACACGTTGCCTTGCAGGCCAAGCTGAAAGGAAGGAATTTGCTCTGGTGCGCTGGGAAGGCTTTCGGGAACTCGGCTTTTATCCAGTAATCGGGAGCCCCAGACGAGGTTCTTTTTACCTGCTCTGCTCAGTCTCTGGAGAACGAACTTGTCTTCCTGATGCACGGCCCCAACTGGCTGGGTGCTGTGCTCTTCCTTGGGGTACAGCTCCGAGGTAAGGAAACCTGGTTTTGTCTGGCCTCAGTTGCATCTTGACTTTCCTCTTCTGATCAGTAAATTACCAACCTCATTAAGGCAGTGACTTTACAGAAGTCTCAGAGACATTTGTTGCAGACGATCACTGTGATTCTTTTGGTCTTGGGTTCGCGGTGAGTGACATGAAGTGATTGAGTTTCTTGGACAAACAGGTTTAGGTGTGTTCAAGGGGAAGAAGAACACTGAGCTCATTCTGAGCTCCAGTTACGCATCTTTTTGGCCCCTGCCTCACTCCCGGCTCCCGCCAGGACTCTGGACTTTCGTCTTGGATGTTTGTTTCACTATCTTTGTTACTAGACAATCAGAGCTTGTTAAACGGGGCTAGGTTTAGATCCTTTACGCTGCAATGAATCCAGAACGACAATAAGCTTACCTGAATTTTCTGTGGCTTTCAGCAATATAACTGGAAACCAAATTTAGCCTAAGAACACCATGTCCAACTTTTCCAAACACATCAGCACACAGACACTTTTGGTAATCTTTCCTGAAAAAAATACGTTATACTCAATTCCTGCATTTGCTCTTTTTAAGAAGTGTAAAATGAAAAGAAGATTTGACACTGAATCTTTGGTTGTGAAATGTGATCTCGGCCAATGAAGTTTTCAAACGTGAACGTCAGTGTTTTGTCATTTCAAATATTTTCTCCTTTGAGAAAATAAGTTTTTTGGCAATAACGTTTTGGCAAGAAATTATTTTCAAAAAGATAAATCCATTGTATTTTCCGATTACAAAGTACACCAACTAGACCACAGATTTAAAGATTAAACTGCCTATCCAGCTACTGAGAATTAGCAAATAAAAACAAATAGGCGATACAGGAAAATGTATTAGTTGTCTCTGTTATAAAACTACCTTCTTCCTGCCTGGATAAGCTGTTTTTTTGGCTTGAGTCAACACTGTGATAAGTTACTTTATCTTCCTGTAGCGACCAGAAATTATTGCTAGTTTCTTTTTTTATTCCTAGGTTAGTTCTACCAGGGAGAAAAAGGAAAGTTATGGGAGTATGTGATCAGGAACAGAGGGGACTGTTGCTGGCAGTAGCAGCATGATTATTAGATCAGCTCTGCTATTTTGTGGAAACTATCCCAGAGGGACTAGGTTTTGCCAGTTCAGAAAGCTGAGGTGGTCAGGCAAGCAACACTGATCAGGCAGAAAAAAAGTGGGAACCTACAGCATCACCTTTTTTGTAGCAGCAATCTGCTTTCTTATTTTCCATTTTTCTTCTTTCTCTGTCTTTATGTTCTCTCTTTTACTGCTTGTCTCTCTTTCTGGGTGGCCTAACTTGATATTAACTTATTTCTAAAGCAGCAGCTGTGGCAGTTTGGTTAATAGAGGAAGTTTCTTTGACAAACAAATGCTTACAGATTTACCACGAGGATTTCCTGCACAGAGTTAGTTCACCAGCCTGCTTTGACTATAATTGTCCAGCAGAGCTGTTAACCTTCTCCACAGGCACTTCTTCTATTAGTAAGAGCAGCTTTCACCATGATGGGCAGGACGCTCAAACTGATGAGTGTGTAAAGGAAAGTCCGTCTAGCCTGCCTGGGATGGGAAATGGCAATTGTTTATAGGTACTACCTGAAGGGACAGGGCTGCTTTTCTAAAGGGAACTGCCTGGGGAATAGAGCGCAGTAGAGTCTCCTCACCTGTAACAAGCTGACCAGGTTAAGTGGCTGAAAAGTTAGGAGGCATCCTTAGTGCTCACCAGCAGCAAGTGTATATTGTGTTTATTGCACCTCCTAGGTGTCAAGCTTGTTTATCCCTGAAATAGGTAGAAGAGAGACATTTCCCCCCCCCAAAACAATATGATATCTATTGCCCCTACAGGCAAGTCTTTCTCAGTGGTCTCCACTCAAGCAGTTCTCAGATCTGTAAGCGTTTAACTGTACAGCCACAACACTCCCAAGAAAGCTCTGTACCATTAACTCAGATAAACACCAACTTCCCTTGAAACCAGCACTGCGTGGCTTGCCTATCAACTAGCAAAAGCCAGGAAGTACACAGGATCTCTCGGCATTTGCATACTTAAGACGACCACCCTCAGTAATTAAATCTGTATCCTTGTGATCATCAGCTTAAACATTAACAGGGACAGATAAGGCAGGCTCCTTCATAGCTTGGGAGTAGATAAGGAAGAGTGTTGAGTTTACTCCCAGACAGTAGTTTTCTTTAGCGCTAACTACTCCTTGCTGTTTTCCCTGCAGCACTGTGGCCTGTGGCAGCTGTGGAAGTTCACACTTCCAAGCAGGTAGATGCTGTGAACGGAACTAATCTACGCTTAAAATGCACCTTTTCCAGCAGCAGCCCTATTAGCCAGCGACTGTCAGTGACCTGGAACTTCCAGCCCGAGGACCTGAGCTCTCATGAGCCAGTGAGTGAGACCTTTATGCTCCATTTCACCGATGCAGACTTGCTCAAACAAATCTCTCCCAAGGCACAGCACTGGCTAAGTCCAGTGACTGTAACAATTCCAGGGGTAGGTATGGGCAAGCACAGCAGCTGTGCACAAGTATGTACATCTTGGACCGTTTCTCTGCTATTCAAAATAATTACTCTAAGCAAAAACTTTTGTTTACAGCCCCTGGTTAAAGAAACAATTGTTATGTTTAGTTTTGGGTAATCAGGGCTAAAATGTCCTGGGCCTGATGAAACCATACCTGCTTACACCACAGTTGAATCTTAGGTCCGAGCTAAGGTCCCGTACTGACTTGACTTACAGAATGGCTTGCGTTGGCTAACTGAAAGACAGCTGAACGTGGCCTAACGCAGCCTTAAGCCTGAGCAGGACAGAAGAAGCACGGCTGCCAGAGCAAAGGTACTATCACTCTGAGGAGTGGAATGGCCTGAGAGCTCATTGAGAGGACCGAGTCGTCGCAGCTCTCCTCTGCTTGGGCGATGTGCCTCAGCCTGTGCCACTGCACTTGCATGCTCTGCTTCCATCACACGTGCTGCACACTGCATAGGAGTGATAGTTTTCTTCCTTTCTTGTAGGTATTCTATTACCTCAAGGAGCCCTACAAGATATCTACTGGGCGGTTTAAAGAGCGAGTCACCTGGGATGGGAATATTCAGCGTAACGATGTTTCCATCGTTATCTGGAATTTGCAGCCCTCTGACAACGGGACATTCACATGCCAGGTGAAGAACCCACCAGACGTTGATGGCACAATTGGTGAAGTGCGACTCAAAGTTGTGCAGAAAGGTGAGAGGCCAAGGACCGCCTCCAGAGGTCATGTGAAGTTAGCCACTGCATGGCATTGTCAGGTCTTCCTCCTAACCTGAGAAAAGGTATGGAAGAAAAGGGATTATAAGGAGAATGTGGGAGGAGAGTTAATGGATACAAGGAGAAAGGAGCCTGAGGAAAGGTTATATTCAGAGGATATAGGTTCCCAGGCTCATACCTGGGCCCCTCAGCGTGTCCCTCTTGCTCATTGGCCTGTTTCTCTGTTGCTCATTTACCTGTTTCTCTTCATGCAGTGCATTTCTCAGAAATCCACTTCCTGGCGGTGGTCATTGGGTCTGCTTGTGTTCTGATGATCATTGTGGTTCTAGTTGTGATTTTCTGTCGACATCATCGGAAGAAACAGCAAGAGAAGAGGACTGAGGTGGCAGACACAGAACTGTAAGGATAGAGGAGAGACAAAGGCTGCTGGGAAACCTGGTCAAATATATCTTCATGGCCATTCTGAATCATTGGCTTGGATCCTGTGCTAAGCATCTACAATGCAAAACTGCCAACGCAATTAGCAGTAATTGGCTGCTTACTTGCAGTCAGAACAGAGCCCTAGGATGAATGGACTTTGGAGTCCTCATTTTGCTCTTGCCCTTCAAGGTAGCTTCCCACTGAGAGCAGGAGCCAGCCGTGGCAGTGGTGGTTGGCAGAAGATCGCTCTGTTCTTTCCTCCATAAACCTGACACTGTGGTCACCATCCCTGTAAAATGTTTATTACCTTATTGTATAATTTCTTGTTATATGTTACATATATACTATCCATAACTCAGAACTTGCTGCTGCTGCTCAGCATATCTGATGCTAATTTTGGCTTAAAAAATTTTTTTTATTAACAGTACTGAAAAGGAGAAGCTGAAGAGTAGAGAAGAAAAGGAAGCCACTCCATTAGAAGACTAGAGATCTTTAACAGTATATACAATGCAGGTATCTATTCAGACATTCTCTCATTAATGTCCCGGGGTTACTGCAGGCTTTCAAAGAAGGCTTTACTTAGGTATTTTACTTCTATTCGCAGTCAACAGGCCATGGCGGTCATAAACACAGACTACCGAGAGCGTAGTCACACTTTGCTCTTGAGGAGCCTTCAGAGAGAGAATGCCAACTGAATGGGCAGTGGAGACAAACTTCCTCTTAACCCTGGAAGAAGTTTCTCCACCTCAGTGTTGAGGATCATCGGTAGGAAAGCCATTATTGCTGCTTTCCACTGCATACCTGTTTGGTGGATAAAGAGGAATGAACTAATTTCCTTTCATCAGTTTTGAATCGGCTTTTTGATTCATTTAATCTTTATTGTTTTAAATTGCTACAGGAAGACTGAAACCTGTTTGCAGATTTGCTGGCTTCGCTGAAACATTTCAGCATAACTTTTACCACTCAATTTCTGAGGTCACCAGTTGCATCTACTATTTTTATTTTCAACAATAACCCATAGTAATGTACTTCTGTTTTATTTATCTTATAATCTTTCTTCTTATGTACTTCTAAAGCAGATGGTGAATGCTTGTAATTTCAGATGTTAAGACCAAGCTGAAGTACAGACGACGGATGCTGCAAGTGTGGTATCCCTGCTCAATCTGAAATTCTTGAAGGAAAAGAGAGTGACATAAACATAAGTTGCAAGGTGTTATTTCCTTCAGTGAAGCAAAGCAGGAGGAAATTGCCCCACGAGCAAGGACCTTTTAGTCTTCACACCTGCAGAATTTAAAGAAATTTGCTGTGAAGAAAAAAAATCCCAAAGATTTGAACAAAATGACTGGAGATTTGCAAAGTATCTGAGCAAACACACACTCTTGCACTTTAAAAATTAAAAGGTACACTTGGGTTGCCCTGTTGTTCCTCCCTCAAAAACTTCTTTAATATTACAAAAAGACGACTGTGTAGACGAGGGAATCAGAGGATCAGCTAGTTGCTATAAAGTATTTTAAATTCCTTTGCTGCTTTAAGTGGAAAGTGCTACAGTTTGGGAATGTATGCAGTTTAACAGGGGTAACGTTTAGCAATGGATGTGTTTTCATATAGGTCTTTTTCAACTTTGTTAAGCTTTGTAAAATATGATAGCTGAAAACACTGCCTTCTACTGAGCAGAACGTGGCCATGGGTTTCGGCAGCTCGCCTCCTCTTCCCATTCTCCTTCTTCCGATACACCGACCCGACCTCCTCTTCACTCCGCTGCCCCCGTCCTGGTTCCCCAGGTTTTTTCAAAGGAATCACTGAATTCTGAGGTGTAACGCAGTGCTTCTTTTCGCTAGTCATCAGGCGTGCGTGCGTGCGCGAGTGCAGGTGCCCGGGGCGAGCGACGAGGCCCCCTGTCCCGCGGGAGCTGAATCGGGTATCAGCCGGCAGCGGCTGGCAGCGCTGCATCGGGCTCCTCAAAGTGGCACTAATGTCTCACTTTCTCTGGACGCTATTTATTGTTCCAGGCTAAGAGCATAAAAGCGCATCTTATTCCGACCTTCGATGCATTTACCACATCCTCTCTACTTCAGCAGACTTCATCAGACCGAGACGAAGCCCAGAGTCATTAAAACCAGCCGAGCTTTTGCTGTATTTGTCCAGCACTAAATCAAAATATCGGCCTGTTTGTGTAAAGAGTGTATTTATGACTTTATGACTTTACCTGTAATGTGCTGGCTACATTATCTGTTTGTACGTTTTCTTTTTCTATCGCGCGCGTCATAAATAAACTTGGTCGGTGGAGAGAAGTGCCGGCGTGACACAACTGGTGCAACACGGGGGCAAGTCACGGCCCTGCCGCGTCCTCGGCATTTAAAACGCTTGTTTTGTCCGGGCCGAACCGGCCCGGCGGCGGG